CTAATTTTATTGTGCATATATTGAACTATCTTGATTAGTCGAAGGTATGAAGACCAAGATGGTGTGGCCTTTTGTGTAGTCGCAGTCTCCTTTAGTAGAATAGAAGTTGTTTGACCTTGTTTTAGCAACTTGGTCATATTGGTAGGAAGACTTATAGGAACGCTCCTAATCCGGAGTCCATTGAATGCATCATCATTTCCAGAGTAGGACCATGGACGTTGTACATTCCCAGAAGTTTCGCCGATATCGTAGTCTGCATCAACAGTAAGTCTCGCCATTCTTAGCACCATTCAACAACTCTTCAAAGAGACAAGTGAAGCCGATCCTTAGACCAAACGTGTGCTAAACAGTTGTGGTATCTTCGCGCCTTCACTGCTACAATTTTTACCGTGCTTATTTCGATGCAATGTGGTGTGCTCCTTTGAGCGGCTTTCTTGAAAACTATTCATACTCCACGCTGTGTTTCTCACCCCCTTCACTCTTTTGCTGGGAATGTTGATCAGTCTGCCATATTGTTACGCAGTCATCCTTCCGAGCAGCACGGATGGAGGGGCAGGGGTCGAGTGGAATATGTGAATCAGGGAGAGAGCAGACGGATCTTACGGGGCAAGAGAGAGCCTGTGATAGGACCTATGGAAGGAGGACTGCGTAATAATATAGCAGACTGATCAACATTCCCAGCACAAAGGTGAAGAGGGTGAGAACGACAGCATGAGTGTGAATGGTTTTCATGAAAGCTGCTCAAAGGAGCACACCACACTATATCAAAATAGGCACGGTAAAAATTGAAAAAGGGAAAGCGTTTGTGGGTTGGCACACAAGAGACTAAGGCATAGGAAGTCATAGACTTGGTATTATAGATACAAAGAGGATAGACATGGCTAAGACTGGAGCTAGTTGGCTGACAGTAGGTCTGTTGTAACATGTAGAAAAGCCTTGACCATGAGGCTCACTCAAAGGCTTACTCAATTAGTCACCCAGACGCAGGGGAGGACGAATAACGCCTCGAGTAGCACAGATGGGGGTGGCAGGGGTCGAGTAAAATACGTGAACCAGGGAGAGAGCAGACTGATCTTACGGGGCAAGAGAGAGACTGTGCTAAGACGTAGGAAGGAGGACTGCGTAACAATATGGCAGAATCTGATCAACATTCCCAGCACAAGGGTGGAAGGGGTGTGAACAACAGCGTGGAATGTTAAGGTTTTTCAAGAATGCCGCTTAAATAAGCACACCACTCTACATTGAAATAAGCACGGTAAAAATTGTAACAGTGAATGTGTGATAAGAGGATATAAGAAATGTGAATAGACTAGGGCAGAAGGTGAGATGCCACAACTGTTTAGCACACGTTTGGTCAAAGGATCGGCTTCACTTGTCTCTTTGACGATTTGTAATATGGTGCTACGAATAGTAAAACTGACTGACGATGCCGGCGAAACGTTTGGGAATGTACCAGGTCCACGTTCCTACTCTGTAAATGAGCATGCATACAATGGAATCCTCTAAGTCTTCCTACCAATATGACCAAGTTGCGAAAACAAAGTCAAACAACTTCTATACAACGAACGAGACTGCTACCACACAAAAGACCACACCATCTTGGTCTTCATACTATCTTGATTAGTTTTCACATTTTTCTTTATGCCCAATTTGTATATATATATTTGCTTCGTGCTATGCCAAATCTATCCTTATTACTAAGCAGTTATTAACATTACACAAGTACTATAAGCTATTATCCCCCAATTCCACTTCATAAAATCAATTTACTTTTCTACAGCTAACTTTCTCTTAGGTTATTCCAATATTGTCAAGAGTATATCATCTCAAATGGAGTTATTAAATCGTAATCACTTTAATCACTAGTTTCAGCTACTGTTAGCAGGGCTTCTGGAGCCAAACCAACACAATTTTTCTACTGCTACTTTGTTGTACTTATTAATTATATCCTACCTAATTGGCTTTATATTATTCCTCGATTCTGACCTATTCCGTCATATTCGAGGATTTATTTACATGACTGGCTCTGAAAATATGATAGAATATATGCGATAGCCTTAACATACGACGATTCTCGTATATGCGCCTCTTATTAATTATTTGGTATTGTCTCCTTATGTTATGTCTCCAAAATAAAAGGAAGGGCTATGTCCACTTGCAAATTCCTCAGTTTTAATTTTTCTCCATAAGCTTGGAGTTCTGTTAAGTATAGTATAATATTTTTTTAATATAGTATAATAGTTCACTGATACAGCATTATATAGCCTAGCAAGTATTGTATAGTACAACTTATGTGGCCATTTGAGACCACGGAATAATCATTGTAAATAGACTAGGATTTTCTCCTAATTTCCATTAATCAGTATTGTTTGTCACACTCTCATTTCACATTTAGGATGGCTCCTGAAGTAATTAACTGTGAACAAAACTCGAGCTGCACTTATGATGCTCGGTCCGACCTCTGGTCTCTTGGAATTACTGCAATCGAAATGGCTGAGGGTCGACCCCCATTGTGCGAGATGCATCCAATGCGGGCCCTTTTCCTCATCACAAGAAACCCTCCTCCTCGTCTTAAGCACGGTCCTCGCGGGGGTGGTGCTGGTGGAATAGGTGGACGTGGTGGTGGGGGTGGAGGAGGTCGAAACGGTCAACCCTGGGTCCAGTGGTCTGAGAGGTTCGACGACTTTGTCAATAAGTGCCTTACAAAAGACTTTATTCGAAGGCCTAATACTCTAGAGCTGTTGAAGCACGAGTTCATCGCTGGTTTGCCCAACGAGCGCCTCGTCAGGATTCAGCTACAGGAACACATCGACGTGCACAAGCGTAACCGTCGGGGTAAATCTAGTTTATCTTGTTTTATCGCCTATATGCACGCCATGTCATGTATGCTCGTATCCGTCACTATGGTTTTAAACGATGTCATCACATGGATGTTTTAAAATTATTCAGTCATACGGGTTCGTTTGATCGTGATTTAGCCTTTCTTGCTTTTACTAATGAAAACTTTTTGGAAGACTGATCCTCTCATTTAGTTCACTTTGGTATTAAATTTCGACCAAAGATAGCTTAGATTAGAAGCTGGCTAAGGTATTGGAATTTATTCCAAAATATGAGGCATAATATCTTGACGGTTTTTTTTCATTCTGGATTAATCGCTGGTTTGAAACCACTCGATCTCAATATGCTATCTGCTAATGGATTTCATTTTCTCCCTTATCTCAAAAACTTCAACGTTTTTATCGAAGATATGAAGACCAAAATGGTTTGGTCCCCGGTATGGTCGCAGTCTCCTTTCGATTTATATAAGTGGGTTGACCTCGTTGTCGCAACTTGGTCTTGTTGTTCGATAGAGTTTTTAGAATGCACCCAGTCAGAAGTCCTCTGCCATAGTAGTCATCATAATTCCAAGCATCAAACAATGGACTTGGTACATTCTCAAACGTTTCGCCGGCATCACCAGTGAGTGCTGCCATTCTCCGCACCAAGCTACGAACTCGTCAGAGACAGATGAAGTCAATCCTTCCATCAACGTTCTGCCGAAAACGGTTACGCCATCCTATTTCTATTCTGGCCTATCTATACACTCTTAGCAAACTCCCGCCCTATCACAACTTCTCACTTGTTTACATTCCACTCCTCAAATTATGCCCTTTTGTGGCAAATCTAGTGTGGCCTCACCACACCTGCTATTCACTCCGACACCCTATCTTTCGATCGCATAATCCGACTCGGGCCTCCAATCTGGATCCCTCTCATGGTCCAGTAGATCCGTTCATTAGCTTTCGGGTTAGACGATTTCACTTGGTTCCAGTCCCAGAGTCCGTTTAACTTCAGGCGTTATTTCTCAAGTCCCTAGAATCGCGTACACTTTCACCTCGCCGAGCAGAGCGCCTAGGCTCTTATACGAGATGTATTTACCCTATTTCGTTTAAGGTGATAATAGATTTGCAGTTCATTTTTCCCACAATGATATGAGTAGAAATGACGTTTTAAATGAATTTCGCATAGCTTTGCTTTTCCAAAAAGTGTCCTCATTTAGGGTGGACTGCAATTTCTACCTCCCTTAAGTCTTATCAGCACCCCTAGCCGGAGTCAAACCATGACAGGGCACGTTAACCAGTGGTTTTGATATTTAGCGGTGACTAATTGACAAGTGGGCTAGGAGAAAGGGGGACAGAAATTAGGTCAGGAGCTCTACAAAAGACACCTAGTACTGGTAGTGTAGATGATTTACGCTTCACTAAACCCATTTGTAGCGACAGACTGTTATTTTGGATGAAACAAGAGCATATAATTTTCTAAATAGGTAGCTGTGCCATATGAAGTGGGATTGAAAGAAAGAGATGCAGCACTGCAAGGAATGACGAAAAGTAGGGCGTAGAATGATGTCAAAGCGCTTGAACAGAAAATTGGTCAAGGGGATTG